TGTATATAATCCATATAAATGAAATACATTTGTGTATAATAGTGAGTGAGTGAGTTAGGTTTAACGCCGCTTTTTAACATTATTCCAGTCATATCACGGCGTGTCAGCTTAATGTCGGAGGAAAACCCGAAGTGATGCAAGTGTCAGACGTTTACCACTTCAGTGAAACCCACGAGCACGGGTATGGTGCTGACAAACCTAGAAACATAATCGGGGCGAACCGAGATTCGAACCCACAATCATAGGTTTCTGGCGTGCCCAAGGGACGTAACTCTGCACAGCGAATCCCCGCGCCTTAGACGACTGGGCCACCCGTGCCCCCTTGTGTATAATAGAAAGACCGCACACTGAGATAGCTCAACACTGCGAGCATTAGGGAAAACATGTGTATTGCCATTTAAAATGCCTCAGAATGTTTCTTTGATGACGAACCAACTAAATACCTACTCCTTGCCAGTTTGAGTGTGTATTTGTATATGGATATTGTAATAAAAAATGACGAAAGTAAGATGTGACTTACATCAGTGTATACGCCCATGTGGGCGATGTAAAAAACACATCTTATTTGGTTAACCCTTACCTATTTACTCTGCTTAGGAGACTCTTCTCTTAATCCGGGCCAGTCAGCACAACTTCGTTTCACGTTTTTCAATGCTTTTATTTTATTTTATGCATTATCCCTTCTATAATCTGGAAATCAAGACGAGGAATGTTGAAACAAGTTTGTTTTTATCGGTAAATTTTGCATCTTACAGGCAATAATATAATTATAATTAAAAAAATAATATAATAATAATGAAGGCTGCAGTGATGGGGAGTTTTCACTTTCTCCGAAAAGTTCTGGGTGGGTTTGACTAGGTAGCGCTTATTATGATTATGATTATGATTATGATTATGATGATTATTATGATTATTATGATTATTATGATTATTATGATTAATAATAATGATAATCTAAGTGTCAGTGTTGATTTTGTTGATGGTTCTGTACTGCTGGAAGGAACCGGAAATGAGTGTCAACCAAGTGAAGTGCCCAAATCGGCCCAGACTCAGTTTTTTTCTTCTAGGAGAGGCTATCTAAACGGCCACTGCATCGGGTTTATGTACAGTTTGTGGTGATCAGCAACCCTGCATGGTCCTGAAAAGTGAAACAGAAGGCTTTTTGTTTGCTGCTCAGGACCAGTCACTTCCCACTCAAAATGTGTGATTTTGCATCAAAATGTATATATGAAATGTAGATTATGTAATGCAATTTTATGAGACTGTCCCAACACATTGTCATAGGATGCCCCGCTTTGGCACAAACACAGTATCCTAAGCGACATGATGTTGAAGCTCGAGCATTTTAATACTGTCCTCGCCATGCTTGTGGTTTTGACACAGAGGTCCATCCATGGTACGACCCGGAATATGTAGAGGACGTCATGGAAAATGATAAATACAAAACTCTTTGCAATAGGCCCGTATACAACCTCAGACGTATCCAGGCCAACAAACCCGATCTTGTCTTTTTTTATAAATCCAGAGAAATCATTTATATCATTGAATTTTCTGTCCCTTTTGACACCAATGTGATTGACAAGATTCAGGACAAACATGGCAAATATGCGGACCTCACTTTCGAAATGTCACACTTGCATCCCAAGTACCACGTTGTCCGACTCCCAATTGTTTTCGGTGCCTAAGGTGTGGTACCTCCCAATCTGTTGACTGACATTGGGAGAGTACCCGGGTTTGCTACCAGGAATACAGCCCTTCTGACAATCTGGGTAATGCAGAAGGCTTCAGTGTTGGGGAGTCTTCACATTGTCCGGAAAGTTCTGGGTGGGTTTGACTAGGCAGCGCTTCCTAAGAGAAGTCCCATTCGCTGTCTGGGCTGCGTCTACAGGGGGCAAGGGCCATGAACTGATGATGAGCCTAATAAACCTGACTGTACCAGGACCACCCAAACCCTCTTTGCTGCATTTTTACTTTTTATCTGTAAACAATGAAATCAGTTATATCATTGAATTTTCTGTCAGGAAAAACATGGCAAATATGCGGACCTCGCTTTCAAAATGTCACACTTACATCCCAAGTACCCAGTTTTATATCTGTAAATAATAAAAATAATAAAAATGTGCGAACTCATATTGCTCTAGACTTACACTTTTACATCAGCGATATGGCAGCCATGTAGTGACGAGCCTATCTGTAAAGCGGTCACAAGTTGTTGTTGTGTCTCCTATCGGAGATGCATGGTATATAAGTGAATTAGTTGGGTTTAACGCCACTTTCAACTGTATTTCATTAATATCTCGGCGTGTCTGAATCTTTTTCAAATAAATAATGAATGATCGAATAATGATCATTGGAATCTGGTTCGCCTTTGGGGCACGACTCTACATAGAGAAGTTTTATTTAGAATTCTCTGGAGTCACAGTAGAAAACGGCTTAGAGTAACTTGTCTTCTTTCTTTATTTTTTTCCATAATATCTTCTAAAGTACTATTTCAGTTATATAAAATAAGAGTTATATTAACACGTGTTAAAAACTTTGGTAGCATTATTTCTGACAGAGGCACATGTCCCGCGTATAAATATGACGATACCGGGATTTGAACCTGTACTTTTTCGGAGGAATGTTTAAGAATTAATTCCATATATTTCGAAGTTTTCTGTTCTTATTCATATATGTTTGTAGGTGTACTAGTCGATACGTCTAGTATAGCATGGGCTAACTGAAGTATACCCTATTCTTGGGTGTGAATCACCGGCGCCATAGTTCGCCATCCAGAGTTGCGACCCTTGACTCGCGAAAAATTTAAGATTGACAATTCTGAGCACAGATTCGGCCTGATTTTATATCAGCACCATACCCGTGCGATATACGAAAGTGGGCAACGCCTAAAACTTGAATCATTTTCTTGTTTCAACCGTCTTTAAGCTGATATGCTGAAATACATCAGAAATACTCTGAAGCGATGTCGACCATTCGGTACTGAAGCGTACATAAAATATCCATATAATCATTAATTTTACAATTGTATCAGATTGTCAGAACAGTGGTTAAAGATTTATCTTGAAGAAACAACCTCAGGAAGTCATCTTTCATCATTTGGTTGCTCTTCAAGATTAAATTGAGTGAATGGTTTTAAATCTAAACACAGCCATCGACACAATTCCCGTACCTACAAAATTAAAAAGGATGAAGGAAAACTGCAAAATATGTTCCTCTGCATGATTTTATGAGACTTCCCAAAATATTTTCTTAATTTGTTCTTAATATTTTCTATATTCTTAAGTATTCGTTTTGGTAAATATTTTTTAACTATTCTATTTATATACATGTATACTGCTACCTTTTTTCACCTTAAAGGTGAAAAAAGGTAGCAGTATACATGTATATAAAGGTGAAAAAAGGTAGCAGTATACATGTATATAAATAGAATAGTTAAAAAATATTTACCAAAACGAATACTTATAATATAGAAAATATTAAGAACAAGTATGTTTCCAGCATGACGGCGGTGGGGTAGCCTAGTGGTTAACGTGTTCGCTCAACACGTCGACGACCCGGGTTCGAGACCCCTTATGCAGACAATATGTGTCCACCGCCGGGATTTTGCTGCAATATTGCTTAAAGCGGCGTAAAATATACTCATCCATTCATGTGATGACTATACGACGAAACGTGTCTTTTCATGCCACGTTGCACAATTTGTGTCCGATCAGTTGTTTTCTGACCAAAAAATATGTTAAAAATTAAAAAAAGCGTAACGCCGATTTGGACAGTGTTTGAGTTAAATTCCAGCGTGTCAGCTTAAAGGCGGAGTCTACCCGGTTGCAAGTCATAGGCTTCTACCGCTGTCGTGAACTTCAGGAACAGGAAATCAATATCGGGCAGAATCGAGGATCGAACACATAATGATAGGATTCTCTTGGAAAATCAACATAACAACATTAGTATTTCCAAAACAACATGCTTACTGGATCAAAAAATACTTCTGGTATTGCTCGTTGTCAGATTCGATCAAACATATCTTAAGACATAGATAATAATTCATACATGTACATACGTATCAAACATATCTTAAGACATAGATAATAATACATACCTATGTCTCTGTTATCACGTGATGATAATTGAGTCATAGATCATTGATAGGTTCAGTAATCAAACATGCTCCATGGCATCGATCATTGATAGTTGACATGATCAAACATGCCCCTTGACATCGATTATAGATAATTATTCTGACGTTTATTCTGTGTCGTCGATCATTAATGTCATCAAACATGTCATGTGGCATTCCATCATTAATAATTAATGTGATCAAACATTCCCTTTGACATCGATCATTGATAGTTAATGTGATTCAGCATTCAATATTGAATTCGAACATTGACAGGTCAAGTGATCAAACATTCCCTGAGACATGAGTCATTGATAATTACTATGCTCAAGCATTCTCTGTGACATTGTCAATTGACTGCGAGATGATAAAAAATACCACGTGACATCTCTCACTGACCAGCTGAAGAAATCACGCATTCCTCTAACACACCCATAAATCAGTTTCCAAGATAATACGCAAAAACAAACGAATAGACGGAAATCATAAATTAACAAATTTACTCAAGATTGAGGTCACTTCTTTCTTGGATAAGGGCTGGGGGTGTAGCCTAGTGGTTAAAGCGTTCGAGCGTCACGCCAAAGACCCGGGTTCGATTCCCCACGTGGGAGTGCGTAAAGCCCATATCTGCTATCCCCCGACATGACATTGCTGGTATATCGCTGAAGGCGGTTTAAAACCCTATTCACTAACTCACCCCTTGGTGGTATGAATCCGGAGCAACATACGAAATAGGGTGACAGACGTTGATTATTGTTCGCAATAACCATTTAAATATGAATCTAGTGTTGTGCCTGTAAAAAATTATGAAGTGTAATTCCTGGGCAGCTGGTATGTTACAACGTCCGCGACTCACAGATACTATTTGAAACATTTCAACTGTATATTTAGATAAGAACGCATTCCTAACCAACCAGCTGTTCACTTGCAGCAATCACGGATTCTCCCCTTACAATGAACGCCGCAAAGGAAATCGCTCTTCTCCTTATTTGTGAGTTCATCATTAATTCCATAATTACTAGTGGACACAAGATTTCTATTCATGTTGTGGATGCTGGTCGCATAACTTATTTCGTTATCGCACCTGTCATAGATTTTCAACAACAGGTGGCTTAATGACAATAAGGTGGGGTAGAGTGAAAGTCCTGGACGTGTTAAGAAATCTTGTTGGGAACATGGTTTAATATTACATATTGAGGAATTATATTCTTTGTTCTATGTACCCGTATTCATGTATTGTTGTTGTTGCTGTGTTATTTTTGTTGTCGCTGTTCTTCGTTTTCTTCTCCTCTCCTCCTCCTCCTCCTCCTCCTCCTACTTCTTCTTCTTCTTCTTCTTCTTCTCAACATCATGATATAATTAACTTAACTACATGTATGTGCACAAATGCTATTGTTAAGAATATCTGGCAGTTATCAGGTGAAGAATGTAAAAACATTGGCCACCAAGACCACACATGAAGGTATGGACAAGACAAAATAATTTGGACTCTGTTCACTCGACACTCTTGGGGGGGTCGGGTAGCCTAGTGGTTAAAGCGTTCGCTCGTCACGCCGAAGACCCGGGTTCGATTCCCGACATGGGCACATTGTGTGAAGCCCATTTCTGGTGTCCCCCGCCGTGATATTGCTGGAATATTGCTAAAAGCGGCGTAAAACCATACTCACTCACTCACTCACTCGACACTCTGGATTGTCTTAAGAAAGCTGGTGTTTGGCTACTCTTTTCAAAGGCAAAAATTTGAAAGGACTGGAGCAGAATATTATTTCCTCTTTCCCTAAGCAAAGATATATTCGAAACAGTCAACGAAACACTGCAAAGTTAAGGTCCACAACACAACTCGGCCCCCGTATCTAATACATCACCATCGAATAACCATTTCTTGTTGGTTTCATTTTTAGCCATCATCAAATATGGTTATACGCTTTTTTACCTGGGAGTTTAAATTCAAATAGCTTTTACTTAGTATGGTTTTGTCTCACAACGACCTCTAGACAATCATGAGCAAAGTTCATGGTTTGCTATCTGCGTTCATCTCTTGGTTAAACTTGTTCACAGTTGTGTCCATATTTGGCTAGAGGTCAGTGGGCTTTACACGATAACTGAAAAATGTCAGAGTTACATATTTTACCTGTTCTTTATCTAAGAGTGTACATGAGAATATCACGCCTGTGTGGACATGGCTTACTTAGGAGTGGCTCGAGGTGTCCTGTGTCGACCAGGGAAAGATTTTCTGAATGCCATTTACCATAGAACTTATTCAAAATGAACCAACAAGATATGAAATGAAAACTACATCTTTCCCATTATTATTATTATTATTATTATTATTATTATTGTTATTATTATTATTATTATCATGAGAAAGAGAATGAGAATGATGATGCCCTTGCCCCCTCTACACGCAGCCCAGACAGCGAATGGGACTTCTCCCAGGAAGCGCTGCCCAGTCGAAACCACCCAGAACTTTTCGGTGAATGTGAAGACTCCCCAACATTCTGGGTCGTAACAAGGATGGACCTCTTTGTCAAAACCACAAGCATGGCGAAGACACTCCATCATGTCGCTCAAGATACTGTGTTTGTGCCAAAGCTGGCATCCACTGACAATGTGTTGGACAGTCTCATAAAATTCATTACATAATCTACATTTCATATTTACATTTTGATGCAAAATCACACTTTGACGGATCCGAGTGGGAAGTGACTGGTCCTGAGCAGCAAACAGAAAGCCTTCTGTTTCACTTTTCAGGCCAGCCGACCTCATCCAAGTGAAGGACTCTGCAGGGTTCTCAACACACTGCTCATAAACAAGATGCAGTGGTCGTTCAGATAGCATCTTTTTTTCAAAAACTGGGCCGATTTGATAACTTTTTAAGGCACTTCGCTTGGTTGGCATTCATTTCTGTACCGTCCAGCTGTACAGAACCATCAACAAATTCAACACTGCCATTGGGATTATGTTCCACAACCTTGGCTCGTTTACGAAAACTGGAATGCCATGTTTTCATCATGAGTCTTGACATGCTTCACAAGAGGATCATCAGACAAAGAAATGTGTGCAAAAGTGCACAAAACAATTCTATCATGAAGAGCCTCCACGTTAATCAAACCACGCCCTCCCTTTATGATTGGTAAATATAAGCGATTGAGGGAAGAGCGAGGGTGGTGGGATCTATTGTCTCACAGGAATTTTCGTGTGAGGGTGTCAATACTCTGATTTTTGTCTTGCGTCCAATCAACAACACGAAAAGAAAATGAAAGGACGGGTACAACATAAGTATTTGTGGCTTTAACTTTGTTGCGAGCGTTCAGCTCAGAACTCCAGATTTTCAACATTCTACATTTGTACTCTGCCCGAAATTTTTTCCTTGATATGGGCATTCGGGAGTTTGTCCCTAATCTGCATCCCTAAGTACGCATATGCCTGACCTTCAACAACTCCCCCTCCAAGTAAACTGACTGATCCTCCCTCTCTACCTTGCCACGTGTCAAATGAAGAATGTTGATGAAGAATGTTGATTGTATTAATCCAAAGGACATGCCGATATCATTAGAAAAGGACTCGACAAGCAGAATCTGTTTTTTTTAGTGAAGATCACACCACACCACACATAAATTTGACGCAGTGGTCGTTAAGATAGCCTCTCCTTGAAAAACTGAGTCTGGGCCGATTTGATTAGGCACTTCGCTTGGTTGACACTCGTTTCTGTACCGTCCAGCAGTACAGAGTGAGTGAGTGAGTTTGGTTTTACGCCGCTTTTAGCAATATTCCAGCAATATCACGGCGGGGGACACCAGAAATGGGCTTCACACATTGTACCCATGTCGGGAATCGAACCCGGGTCTTCGGCGTGACGAGCGAACGCTTTAACCACTAGGCTACCCGACCGCCCCCCCCCCCCCCCCCCCCCCCCCCCCAGCAGTACAGAACCATCAACATAATCAACACTGACATAGAGATTATGTCCCTCATCCTTGGCTCGTTTAAGAAAACTGTAGAATAGTAGTAGTAGTAGTAGTAGTAGTAGTAGTAGTAGTAGTTGTAGTAGTAGTAGTAGTAGTAGTAGTAGTAGTTGTTGTATTGTTGTTGTTGTTTTTGTTGTTACTCAATTAACTTTGCCACATGTACCTGCAGAAATGTACTCGTTAGATACTCTGATTGCATGTCACTAAACAGCATATGACAAGAGAACGTGAGCACGTCATCAAGATTGTATCCAGATGAAACGTACATGATTCCTATATTTCCATAACAGTTTGTTAACCATGTGTGAATAGAACAACATTATTTTCAATCACATCATTTCATTATTCCTTATAAGTCTGTTCAACTTTCATATATTGTCTCCACTTCCAAACATTCAATTTCTATCCACTTCACACATCAGTTTCTTTTACGCGAAAGTCTTTAATGAAAGTGAGTAGATGTATACAGTAAACTACGGTTATAACGAACACGCTTATAACGAACTGACGGATATAACGAACTTACTTTTTCGGTCCCGACTATTTGCTGTTGTTATACTGTATATATGCTTATAACGAACTACGGTTATAACGAACTAAAATTAGTAGTCCCTTTGAGTTCGTTATAACCGTACTTTACTGTATTTGTAAAAAAAATGGATAATTTTCCCCACTCTTCATCGACATGTATTAAAATGTCTCATGCCTGTAGACCAATATGTTTAACTTTCTTTCTACGAACACCATCTCCTCTATATGGTGAACGATAGTTAATACAGATGATACCGTTTCTAGTGAATGCGTCCTGATTTATGGAATTCTGGGGAAAACTTAACATAAGTACAATGTGTGAAACCAATTTCTTCTGTCAACCACAGTGACATGGCTAGAATATTCCTTAAAACGGCGTAAAATCATACTCAGGCTTTTTTATTTACCTAATGATGTGTGTTTGGCAACAGGACACATGTACAAGAACACCCAACGCGGTACACATAACGCTGAGCTATCAAAGTTGGTTGGTTGTTTGGTTTATTGTTTAACGCCGCACTCAGCAATATTTCAGCTATATGACGGCGGTCTGTAAATAATCGAGTCTGGACCAGACAATCCAGTGATGGATATCATGAGCCTCGATCCAAGCAAATTGGTATCGATGACATGCATCAACCAAGTCAGCGAGCCTAACCACCCGACGACGTTAGCCGCCTCTTACGACGAGCATAGTCGTCTTTTACGGCAAGCATGTGGGAGGACATTCTCATGTAATGCAGGTCTCAGACGTTTGACCCATTGAGACGTAACGCCATAGTAACAGATATGCTAAATGGGTGGAGGTAGTCGTGGTAGTAGTAGTAGTAGTAGTAGTAGTAGTAGTAGTAGTACTAGTAGTAGTAGTAGTAATAGTCTTTGTGGTAGTGGTGATGGTGGTAGTAGATGGTAGTGGTTATAGTAGTAGCAGTAGTATTGGTGTTATTAGTACTCGTTGTTGTAGAAGTAGTAGTGGTGGATGTTGTAGTAGTGGCAGTGGGAGCAGTGGTGGTGGTGGTAGTAGTAGTAGTAGTATCAGCAGCAGCAGCAGCAGTAGTAGTAGTAGTAGTAGTATCAGCAGCAGCAGCAGTAGTAGTAGTAGTAGCAGTAGTAGTAGTAGTAGTAGTAGTAGCAGTGGTGGTAGTGGTAGTAGTAGCAGTGGTAATAATAATAATAATAATAATAACAATAATAATAATGAGTCCATTTGTATGGCGCCAAACTCCATAAAAGCTCGTGTGCTCATGGCGCTTACATTATTACCCCAATTAATGGATCGGTGAGCACTATATTTTCATTCTCAGCTCCCAGTGGAGTATACAACCTAAGCTGGTAGTGGATATTTTGAAGGGTGGAAGCAAGCTCCGACGTTTACACAGTTTGGTCCTCATTCTATGAAGGTCCATACTCCAATGAACTCACACGGCCTGGAAGTCAGTTCCTAATTATAACCATACACCTGGTAACGTATGCCTTCTCTCTTTCAGCGCTGACAACTATACAGCTTAGCCAGGCATCGAATCGTAAGTAAACACGTACATCGCCAACATGAAACATGTAGGTCGACAATGAAACAAATGCACTGTGTCCAACCCGCCCTGGGTAGAACACCACTTTGAACAGTCAATGACAGTACATCATGTGGCAACCCATGTGGGAGGAAAGTCCTAAAGGATGTAGGTTTACCACTTTCATGACATAAAATGTAAACTCCAAGGGATAGTCAGTCTTGATTATTTACCGAAGCAAAATAGCCGTGACAATTATATGAATGGATCACATAAAGTCAGTGATGACACCAGGTGTTCACGACATGCCCTGCTGTAGTGCTTGAGTGAGTATGGTTTTACGCCGCTTTTAGCAATATTCCAGCAATATCACGGCGGGGGACACCAGAAATGGGCTTCACACATTGAATCCATATCGGGAATCGAACCCGGGTCTTCGGCATGACGAGCAAACGCTTTAACCACTAGGCTACCCGACCGCCCCGTCCTGCTGTACCGGTAGCACGCTCTCAATTACTGGCGTGGTAAGTCGATTATATTTTTCAATGATTACGTAAACAATCCAGTTCGGCATCAGGCCACTGCCGTGTTTGTCATAAATAAACTCAACCCAAAAGAGGATCGGGTGGTCATCATGTGTAATATGGTTGACTGCGTGTCCACGACGGCTCATCATCACCGACTGATCTACCTTCCCAGACTTGATTACTTACAGACGGCTGAGATATAGCTTGACTTGACTTAAATGCCGAGTACAGCAATACCAGCATCCACTCACTCATGTTATCATCTCTTACTTCAGATAGCCATCATCAAGGTCTACTATGTGCTCGCTGTGACAGAGTTACGGACCCACTCGACTGTACATACACAACCATATGTGAAAATGATGAGGTAAGTAGGGATTCCATCCACAGTGACCTTCGAAATAGGCCTCTGTTCACCCATCAGTGACTGGGTACCCGGTAGGATGAGATGGTAACATGACTGTTAACCTTCCAGCGCCTCACAGGCATCTTCGATTGTGTATTCCTCGGGGAGCTGAGAATGAACATCGAGTGAAAACTGACGGGATGATAATGAAGCATGCTTCAGGATGTGGATGTGGCGTGTTAGAAGTATTTACATTATTGTCATTATATATATTGGAACCTCTTTAATCTGGACGGTGCAATTCTAAGTGGAATTGTCCGCAGAAGCATATGTCCCATCTTCCCGAGGCAAGGGAGTTAACTTAAGCCAAACTAGGCTGGAATTCCGGAGTTATATTTTGACTTGACGTACGAGTCTACACATAGTCCAATCAAAATAGCGCAACGAAATCGACATCCGGTTTTGAAACAACATGCGCACGCCAACCGCCGTGCAGATTTCGGTTGATTGCAAGACCTGCAAAGCATGTGTTCTGTCAACTGGGTATCGACAGATATTTTCCAAATCTTATTTTATCAAGGTGCTTAAGTGATTTAAGGCACTTTGCGAGGTAAATGCTTTCTTATAATACAGATCTTGATTATCAATCAGATCGTCTTGACTGGGCGCCGCCATTTTGAATCAAATGCAAGTGGTATGAGAGGTGGAATCTGATTGGTAAATAGGAGGGATATAGAAGGGACATCACTCATAATAGCCACTGCTGGAATACTGTTAAAAACGCCGTGACCAGGTAGTGATGAGAATAGTTACAGTCATATACTGCTTATCTCTTGCATACACAAGTCGGTGTTTTTAATCATGAATGTATTCTATGCCACATTAAACCAATGAAATTTTAAACAGCATTAATATATATGACCAACCATGAGGTAAGGGACCTTATGGATGACTTCTTATTATGTTATAAAACTACAGTACAAGAACCTACAAAAACAAGGATCACAAAAATACAATACATAACCTTCAATTCATAGTTATTTATAGAGTAAAATGACAACAAAAATTTAGACTCATTTTCTGACTTATATTCGTTGATGTAATGATTCCAGTTTTCAGACATAACGTCTGATTAATTGAAATTAGACATGTAAACTGAAGTGTTTTGAAATAATGATTTATTACATGACGAACTAACGAGGGGAAAATAAAATATTTTGTACTGTCCGCACACATGACGATTTATACGGAAATACGTTTACGTCAGAGGTCTTTCTTTAAGACGTCAGGGCACAATTGTATCCTAGCACCAACAAGATCTCCTGGCGGGTTACATCTATGTTTGTCAATTCTTTTTCAGGCGTGTCACATTGCTCAGTTTGTAACATCGCAAGGGAATCTGTTTTATAAACTGGGATGTAAGGCTAAACAGGTAGGTATGGATGGAGTTTCTATGAAGATTTCAAACAATTGTATGATCAGGGTTACAACATTCTAGGCCACAGTGAAGCTTTCAAAATGTTTTATTGAAGGCATTTGGAAGACATTTCCAAATTTGACGCATCAGTGCCCAAAAGAATGTTCCTGTGGATTTTATGGTTGAACAATTCACTTGCCTTTGCATGTGTTTGTGACAGGTGTCCCCGATAAGGCAGGATACGCTCTCATCACTATTTGATAGTGAATCTTAAAAACATGCTTATTATAATGTCTAATGGATTCTGCATTTAGTACAAATTAGCTATGTAGAGTTGCGTCCCTTAGGCGTATTTGAACCCTGTGGTCGTGGGTTTAAATCCCTATGGTCTAATATGAAGCCCCTTTAAAAAGTTATTCACCGAAGGCCCGGGTTCTATCCTCTATATTGCTACCATATGTGAAGCCCATTTCTACTGACCTCGCCTTGATGTTGCTGTAATATTCCTCAACGGCGTAAAACCATACTCATTCTCTCACTATGAGAAGCGGAATAATGATTTAAGACGAAAACTCCGATTAATTTTTACATAATGTTTGTTGTCTTCTTCTACTTTAGGAATGCCAGGCTCTCCACGTTGGTCGTAGACAAAACGGAGATACCGTGTTTGACGAGCGATGTTGCACAAAACACCCCGAATGTAATCGAGACTTTTTCAGTAGGTACAGGACATGTTGTTCAAACTGATGTATTTCTAAAATCTGTTATACTGGCAAGGAAGGGTTGCGTCCCTTAACTTAACCAGGATTCGCTGGTCGTTGACTCGAATTCTAGATTTGCCATTGGTCCCACAACTTATGGTCACTTCAATCAAAGCGGTGGACGGACGTCTTCAAACTGCGTACATTTTAAATGTACTCTGAATATTAAGATGAAACATAGGGACATAACTACAACACTGTCTGAAGCGATGTTGTAATCAACAAGCCATGTTTCCTGAGTGTAGTTTCTAACGATTGACCTGCCTTTGCATGTGTTTGCGACGGGTGTCGCCGGTGGGGCAGGATACACTCACCTTTTTGTGAAACCCTGACATACTCACCATGTGATATTCATTCATATCCACATGTTTATGATTTAGTCGGAATCGTATACTGGACTCTTTCGGTACAGATTTCATATCGTTTAGGAAATGGTTTTGTCCTGTAATTTCAATGAATTTGTCTGTCTGAGTGTGACAGGGATACGAGTCATTGACAGTTTTATATAATGTGGAAATACGTCGTGGTTAAACAACAACTGGGTATGCGTGGGTTTTTTCGTTTTGTTGTTTATTCCAGCTACATGACGGTGGCCTTTAAACAATCGAGTCTGGATCACACATTCCAGTGATTGATATTGTGAGCAACGATCCACGTCGTCGGGGTACGATGGCATGCTATCAACCAAGTCACCCTATGAATTCAGTCAAGCATAGGTTGCTGAGGAGCAATACTTACCCGGATTCTAGATCCTAGACTCTGGATTCTACCGGCACGTACACACAGAAATACATGAAGTACCGTTATCCCGGATACTCGTTAATCCACACAATTGATTATAATTGTTTGAAAGTAATGAATTCGGATTTTTTAAGGGCAATCCAAGGGTCTGTCCTGCGGTTCCTGCAAGGATATAGCAAGTCCTGCCAACTGCGAGAAGGTGGTCACATGTAATTCCAACGAGGTACGTTGTTCAATAAATCACAGTGGCAGTGAAATGGTCCTACGTCACTTTTCCTGTTATATTCCGGCGTCAGCATATTGATCATTAATCGACCTATTGACACACCAGCACAGGGCCAATGATTTTTTAAAGCGTCTAGGCACAAACGATAGTCGCATCTTTAGTTGCCTCCTTTGAAATTGGTGATCACTAAATTAATGAAAATAACCAACCACGTCAGCAATACGTGTCAGAACAAATGAAATTGATATGAAGCATTTGAGTAGATTTTGAATATGTTTGAATTTGACTTTTTAAATGTCAAAGAATTATGAAATGCCAGAGATTCAACATCATAATTAGCCAAACACTTCTCGGAAACGGGGACCGCCTCCGTGGTCTAGTGGTAGAGCGTCCGACCGGAGAGCGGTAGGTCCGGGGTTCGATACCCGGCTGCGCCATACCAAAAGACGTTTAAAAATGGTACTTGTTGTTACCCTGTCTGTAGCGTTAAAGGGGTAAAACAAGGACTGGTCAGTATACTGTGTATGAGTGAGGTATTAATGTTAAACTGCGGCATGTTATCCCAGTGGGATAGCACTATAAATCGGCATCAGTCAGGACTAGTACAAGCAGTCACACACACACGTGGATGGACGTCGCTAAATACGCTAATAATCTTAGTCGCGACGTTAAACCCCATTTCACCTCACCTCACCTCTGGGGAACGGGGGAAAGCCTTAATTAATTCCTTGTAACAAGACCCTTATCTGATCAGTACGAAATTTTGCCTTTGAGTATTTATTATTTTAACATGCCAGTTTCATGAATGAACAGTGAGTGAGTATATTCCAGCAATATCACGGCCCGGGACACCAGAAATGGGCTTTACACATTGTACCCATGTCGGGAATCGAACCCGGATCTTCGGCGTGAAGAGCGAACGCTTTAACCAGTAGGCTACCCGACCGCCCCATGATTGAACAAATAAACCGCTGGTGTTGATTTACTGAAGATTTAGAACTCAGCTAAGGGAGGTTTTGGAATTCACGGTCTTGTACCCTGGAGATGTGTTACATCAATACCGTGTGTGAAACTTGGACATTGTCTCAGCAGACAAGGAGAGTTTGCTTTGAATGATTTCGCAAATTGGACAGTGTCTAGTTAAATTAAGGCATTTAAGACACGCAGATTATCCAGGAGGGAATTCCGCGAAACCTGCTGTGACCGGGATCATTAATGCCAGAAAAGGCATCAATATTTAAAGAATATTTGACAAGGATTTTATCAACTATTAATGTTGTGTTTGACTGTTGCAGGTGTGCGAACGTACTTCCTACGTATCTGATCAGTTTTATTTTCAATACACACTGCAGTGTGTAAAAAAAGACGTAAGTCATATTGTCTTTTTCTTAGATTAATGCCAAAACATACTTTCCTCACATGAGGATCCCATTACCAATATGTCTCGTGTGAATACTGGCCGCCGTCAAATAGCTGGCATATTGCTGAGTGCGGCGTAAAACAACGAACATACATAACAAAAAACTACTGGATCTGGAGATTACAATGAACTCGTTACCGTTTTGGTACATCAACGCGCACATCCCGCAGCGATTGCTTGGTCGAGAGTAGTTTAACCCGGACTTACGGTATGCTTTGTTCTGTAACTGCCTGCAACAGATCCTCGTACCCTTTGCATATCGCAATATGGTAATGAAGCGGCAATAATTAATTTAATAACATCAAAAGCCCCTGATGGGATTACACGGACCGATAATCAGAAGTCGGATGCCTCGTCCACATGAGCAGAGAGGTGTACCCCGTCACCTAGCTGACAAGGTAAGGATGTCTTCACACCCTGCTGCATACTCCCCCTTGAACTGAAGACGCCCATGTCCACTCCTGTGACCAGCATAGGATGCTTGCTCCTGCAATTCAGTAGCGACAGGAATAAATATGCTTTGAATAAGATGCACAGACATGTTTGTACAGTTGTGTGTTTGACAAAAGAACGTTAAACCCTTTAAACAAATTCTACAATTTGATTTGTTATAGTATTGCGGAAGCCACGTGCTGCACAGGGCTCTGTTTGACGATGAATACACAGATCTGTGTTGCGATACCAACTACTGTAATATGGGCGAGAACATGAAACGTAAGATTGTTGGATTGTGAAATCACACTGACTATTCATTTCCTGTTGTTTATTGATCATATTTATTCGTTTATTATAATCGCCCATCCGCTTCTTCTTGTGCATGTAATATATATGGCATCAGGGAACACTCGGCGCTGACTTTCTCAATTCACGCTTGCTGGGTGACCGAATTTGACAGAAAAGTATTCACTCTATCTAGCCATGCTTATTTTATTTTATAACCGGGTGGTATTTTGAATATCAAATGAAAGTTTAAGGCGTGTCAGTTTTCTCGCTTACTTCAAGGATCCCTCACGAACAAATCAGGAAAGTTAAAAAAGCAACATTTCCTGTTGAGAGCATTTTTAATTCACAGTCTAAATATGACTGAGATACTATGCTCGGAACATGCATGGTTTCGATGGTATTCCAAGCAGTGTGTGGCTCTAGTCCATTGTAAATGCTGCGTTGGTGCTGTCACGTTACACAAAATGACAAAAGGGAAACAGAGAACTTGATACTTTGGGCATCATACTGACAAAAAACATAAAACGATTGAAGAAGTGTATTTATTTTATTCCCGTTTAGTGGAAATATCAAGTTATGAAAAAAAGAAAGACCTAATTCACTAATTTTGTTATTCCAGTCACTACAGTTACTACAGGTCCCACAAATACCGCCACATCAACCACTGCTGCAAGAGTTACTACGGCTGCTACCACTGATACCCTTTCTACTACTACCAGCACTAGCATCAGATCTACCAGAACGTCACCTTCTACAACACCCACTACAACAGATGCCACCACAACGACGCCTACTACAATCACTACCACCCCCGCGATAACAACTACCACAACACCTTCTACAACAACCACTACATCGACAACTGCCACCACACAAAAACCAACAACTCCCACTACCACCACGACACCCACAACAACAACTACCACTACAACCACTACGACACCTTCTACAACATCAACCACTACAACCACCACGACTCCTTCTACAACATATACCACCACGACCGCTACGACACCTACAACAATTATAGCAACCACTACTACTACTACAACAACACCTACAACACTTCCTCCAGGAGGCAAGTTATTCATAGCAGTTAACTGCAATTAAATTATCTATGCGAAAAACCCTTTGTATATACAAACCCATAGACGAATGGCCGAATAATGCTGATGTGAATATCAATCTTCACCCACTGACTTCCTCATTTGGGATTGCTGGTTAGAAAGGCCCCCAACAAACTCTTCTTGCATGAGGTACCTAAATGTATCGTATTGTTTAGGCATTTCTTATAAGTTGTGTCCGGAATAACGGTACTACATACTCGTATATAGATGTGTGTACATACCGGTAAAACCTAACAGGGATTTCGGGTAAGAATTGGTCCCCAATTGACTTGAATTGACTTGGTTGATAGCACGTCATCGTACCCCGACGGAGTGGAACGTTGCACATAATATCAATCACTGTATTGTCTAGTCCAGAGTATTTGCAAGCCGTCGTCATATAGATGCAATATTAAAAACGTCGTTATTGCAACGAAGAAACACTTATTGTGCACAGGATACTTGTCCGCAATGCCAGGTTTAGGGATTATTGAGATCCGGACCTCTCAGGGCCCACTTTCCTATGCAGGCTCTCAACAGAGGCCTTATCTGTTCATGAAATATTCATACATTGTTGGTGTTGTGCACTACAGTTGCACATGTTAAATAAACGAATTAATGGTGAAAGATCAATGCAGATTAAATTAACATACATATCTGAAAACATCGATTGAATTGTTTTTGTTTATTTTTTTCAGTGCTCTGTCAAAGTTGCACGTCGTTCTTGTGTTTAGCGACACACAATTTCCAGATGTGTGAATATCCTACGAGGTACTGCTACACGAACATCAAGGTCTCTAGCAATGGTCAAGTGGAACTGACGAAGAAGTAAGTGTCACCAGACCGTGTTTCTACTTCTCCAATTGTGGAGTACACAGGCTGAACGTCACCTCAACTCAATCCCTTCCCTATCAATATGTATATTCATCCTCCAATTCTCTTTCACTGAAGAACCAACACTTCTGGAAAAAAAAGGTTTGAAACGTAGGATTTTTACTAATTCCATCTGTCTATATATGGCGGACGAGCTTCATCCAAGAATCGATCATCGACACGTGAATGCATACAATGTTGTGTAATTTAGTAAGGTGTGTGTGTTGTTGAACGCTGCAGAAAACAATATTCCAGCTAGGCGGTGACGTGTAGATAATCAAGTCTGAACCAGATCCAGTGATTGATACGATGAGCAACGATCCACGCCGTCGGGGTACGTTGACACACCATTAACTAAATCGCTGAGATTGACCGCCCGATCCATTAAGTCGCCTCTTGCAAACCGCACGGGTTGCTAGGGATTAATTCGAACCCGGAATCCACACGGAGTTGTCATGAGATAGTGAATAAATATGTATGACTCGGGGAAGTCAAAGGAGCCTTATTCCGTGCATGAGCGAGCCCTGCTGTTGTCCAAGCACAGCGTGGAGCAGGGGCCGCAAGCTGTTGTATATGTTGCACATGATATATCGCCGTGTTATCTGAGCGCTCATTGATCTGAGCAATCGCTTATTTCCCCATTGCAAGAACCATGCCGTCGCCTGATTTGCTTGTTATAACAGCAGCAGCTTCACCACACAGTGGCCGTATGTATTCTCGTATCGTGGAAGAACGCAGTGCATACAAACACATCAGAAATTGACAATGGGATTTGAATAACATCATTTTCAAAAGGTTTCAGATTTGGAATAGTTTGGACCGTGTCGTCTAGAATGGCACATATTAACTTTGACACGGTTTCGAACAACGGTACCTTGTTTGTAGTTGGTCATTCCAGATGTTAATGCATTGGAACATTTTGAAATGTGTTGTTTTGTCAAATGTCCATTTTGACACTTGCAGGTGTGCCTCTAAACAGACCTGTCAGAAATTGTGGTGGCAGCAATCTTCGGACAGAGAGGAATGTGTGAATCTCAAGCAGCATCTACAAGATCATGTTGATTTCAGCTGTGACTATTGCTGCACAACAGACAAATGTAACGCTGATGATGTCCCCGCTACAAACACACTTTTCAAGGGCTCGGACTAATGAATGGGCATGTTAAAAAGGACTGCACTCTGATTTGAATATGTTACTTAGTGGCGTAGATAACAGATATACTTATTTAAATGGCATTACAAGCATGTGTATGGTCAGTCAGCTTATGGTAACTGAAAAGACTCCAACAATCAAAGACGACGGATATTGTGAAAAGAAGATGTAAGCAAAATCAGAATTGTAAATGAACATTGAAAACAACACAAAAATAGTCCAAATCAAATAATTCTATCAAATTTTATACCACAAATATATGAATGTACCACCTGGCGGCCATTATGAAATGAGACAGCCATTTGGATATTCAGGTGGCTTGCGTTTGTTTGTAAAGTGTGTGTCATCATTACACCTAATTTTGGAAGGAATGTAATTGATGGAATGCACTTTAGATTAAATTACAATAAATCTCGAGTTGCACCATCATTCTGTGCAACAAAAACTTCAATTACATGACACCATTTGACACCATTTCCTGTTTTGCTGAGTGATGTTTCCATGGTGTTTTCCAGAGTCCGTTTTGGAAGCCTTCATTTACAGTTTATACTTGTCCCTTTCGGACCGCAGCATGAGGTTGCTAACTAAGGATCATGTCTGACACTCACATATTTTCCAAAGCTGAAACCAACGGTCAAATCACAATCAGCCTTCAGCCATGAGGGCCCAGTGTCTATGATAGATGACAGTAAATGTATGTGTTCGAATTGCAAAGGGACATCTTAGGAAAATGCTTTGGTCGTTACATACGAACTACATGTACACTATAGGATTGCGATTATTGTTCATGTCTGATACCAAGTTGAACGAATTTGAGTTTGTCTGGTACAGGTTTGGGGTGCATGACAATTAATGATGACACTTGTACACAACTGGGAACCAAGTGTTATGTTTTGTGAATAAATTCAAGCTAACCATTTCGCTGTTCCGTTCAACAATACGCTGAATGTGAGAAGCATAAGTACATGTATTTTTATGTCATAATAGACCGACATTTGGCTTGTGATTTAAGAGAGCATGTTGGTTTTTTACTGCCAGCACTTCAAATTTAACCTGGTTCTCTCTGATAGAAGAACCCTCAACACATAATTATTGTCAGACATCCAGCAAGAGCAGTGAATTATTATATAACAGATATTTTTTAATGGGCGTTTCACTTTGTATCGATTTGGATTGATGTCGAATGTCATGTCGATATGTGAAATTGGCTGTGAAATATTAAACTATTGCACTAGACATAATGAGTTTCTTTTACGAATAAGGTATATGCTTATTAAATTACAACTACGTTAAATGTGGATTTGATAGAACTACGTTTTATTTGAAACAAAAACTGAATATACATAGCATAGTGAAGGCCCAATGATAAATGTTCCAATAAGCGAAATACAAAAACACTTTTCTTACATTCTGAGACGTTGTTATCCATACTAATATGACATTAAAGAGACGTTGTTATCAATACTAAAAATGCTCTGAACCTATGATTGACTGCGAGGTGGTATTCAACAAAATCCCCTGATGTCCACACATTCCCTTCAGCCAACAATGCTAAAATGCCTGCATCCCACTATTGCAGATACACTACTTTGACATTTAAGCCTAATGGAATCTGTTTCGGAAGATAACCCTACGAGATTCATCTCTGACGATGGTATTTTAAATTTTATTCTCTACGTGTGCTTAGTCGTCGATCATCCATAATCATATCATACATTTATCAGCAGTTTCCATAGTCGTGGCAGTTGAAGGTCTCTCTGATATTGCATCATCTTCGAGTCTTCTTTTCACATCTTGAACTCCGCTGGCCACCTCTCACCAATGGCAAAAAGAAAGTCATCTTCTAAAGTTAATGTTCAATGTCATCTGTCACCAGGCAATAGATCAAGAGTCATTGACAATTTACGTCAATACCAGCACAATCAATGAATATACTCATATAAGTAGGACGAATGTACCGTTAACTGCCCATTGTTAACAGGATCTGCTCCTGTAAACAGGTGAGTTACACTACCAATTAGATATCTGATAAATGCAGAAACGTACATCTACCATTGTACGATATTTGGTGGTTTTTTTGTAAACGCCTCAATCAGCAATATGACCAGAGTATGTAAATATTCCAATTGCAATAACATTGTCATAGCCCGATGAATATTGTGACATTCACACTGTGTAACATTAATTGTAGTATTTGATATTAAGTAATGTCCTTAGTGGTGGCAGTTGAAGGTCATTGATCATCTTCGAGGCTGTCTTTTCCGATCTTGAACCCTGCTGCCCATCTTTTGACAATACTACTATTCCACACAGAGCACGAATCCCACGAATCCAACGAATCGCCACGATTTGTAAATTTGAGGAATCGAGAGGACTCGAATTTAGTAAATATTATGGTCCAATTCGTGACGCTCTATGATCTAGTTACGATACAGGTACGATAGAGTTACGAATATTCTTGGGATTCGGCTGGATTCGCATGAATATTGTCAAGAATTCACTACGATTTGCAAGAAGCTATTAAGAATACTGCACGAAAGTTAGGAATCAGTTAAGAATCAGTTAAGAATACGCCGAATGCATGTACGAATCAGGTACGAATAAAACTGAATTCGTGACTATTCTTGACAATTTTTGGGGTTTTCCCTCAAGATAGCTATAAAAAGGCCCCCGCCCATGCTTTGGCATCAGCTTCAAAATGGATGGCATCTTGCTGAATCGTGAATTTCGTGTTATAATGGCACAATCGTCAGCAGCTAATGACCTGAAATCAATGTTAATTTCCTTACATACCCAATTTGTCGGCAATCGTAGTTGATTCGTGATCGGATCGTGAGCTTCGTACCTGCTTCGGCGTGTGTTCGTGGGATTCGTGAAAGATTCGTAGCCGATTCGTCGTAAAGCCACGAATTCACGAATTCACGAATCCCCGAATGAGTTAAGAATACCTACGAATGCCTACGAATCGATTACGATTCAGTTACGATGCCTAAGAATGCATCACGAATTTGTTACGAATTAACTACGATATTTTTTTATCGGGAGTTCGTGGCCAAAACGTTGAACAGCTCAAAACTTTTGCCACGAATTCCCGATAGCTCAAGAATTGAAAGAACTAACTACGAATATATGCGAATCATTTAAGAATTTCACGAACTGATAACGATTCAACTACGAATCCAAAAAAATATCAATTCGTGGTCTGTGTGGAATAGTAGTATTAGTTGACTCCATGTCTGATTGTTCAATGTCATCTGTCTCCTGGCTACACCGACAGGACCGTATACGCCAATACCATCACAATCAATGAACATACTCATATAAATAGGACGCACGTACCGTCAGCTGCGCATTGTGATCACACGCATTTGGAAAGTACTTCTCCCGTAAACAGGTAAGCTACACAAGAAATTATCTGATAACTGTAGATCTACTTACAGATTACGTTGTAAAATATTTCTTTTGTATGTTTGGGCTTTTTCTTTACGCTCCATTCAACAATATTCCAGCAATGTGACGGCAGTATGTAAATTATCGAGATGTTATAACAATGTCCTAGCGATGAATACTCTTACCTTCACACTGTGTAGAATTATTCGTAGTATTCGATATTACGTAATGTCTTAATGTCATTCCTTGACATACTGAGGCCCTCATGATGGACAGATATATACGCCGCACTCTTCTGCACTTGCAATATTCCTGCTCTATGACGGCGGCATGAGTCTGGAGCAAATCGGTATTATGAACAACGATCCACGCAATTAGGATACAATACCATGCTGACGACCACGTCACCGAGCCTGAAGGCCGATCCATTTAGTTGCCTATTACGAGCACAGGCTTCTGGGGATCTATATTCTTAATTGGCATCTGCGTGTGTACAATATAATTATACTTTGCCCACGTTCTGATCCAGCTAAAACTAACAATTTCACACTTGGATTTGCCAAAAAAGGACATGGGATGGCTCGTTATCTGAATGACAATTTAGTGACTCTATGTGTTATGAATATGAAGCTGTTAGGTTCAGCAAGTTGACGCTAAGTTTCACTTTGCCGGCTTGTTACAAAATTTGTTACAAATTAGTTACGATAACCCTTTGTCTCGTCCTCGAATAACAAGAAAGAATGAAATGTCCCTGCACAACAATCTGAGGAGTAATTATGATTGATGGCTGAATTGCGTACCAGTTGCATGCGATCTATAACCCGTTTTCTTACATTTTGAAGTTGAATAATAATTTATCCTTTTAAGTGTTCTTAAACTAGATTTTAAGTATAATCTGTGATACTCCAGTTGATTTACTGTCCATCAACGATTGGTTTTAAACAGTTGAAATGTATTTATTATTAATGTGTGACTCCTCGTCACGCTACGGCTGAAATATTGCCGATGTGAGGTACATCTTAACTCACTCTGTCGTGACAATCACCATTCGTCTTGTCCCCTAACAACACGAGAGGTTGATATGCCCTAGTAATACGCTCTTTGATGGTACTTGTGTACTGAGCAATTTTGATATTACATGTTATACTAACAGTGTGTCAAATCGCTAAGACATTCTAACATTTCGTGACTCTTTCAATCAAAACGCTCCTTCTTCATAGTGGGCATATTTGCATCAACTGTTACTCTTCTTTCAGAGAGAACCTCCAGTCAAATACATGATCATGTATATGCAAGTTATCATTCTTCTCCTCCTGGTCACCTTGACCCAAGGGTCTGTTAGCCGTGGTATGATTGAAAAGGAAACAAACAGTAAGTTGGAAATCTGAACTTCTTCATGCATCTCTCTAATTTAACATATCGTATACGCCAGAACAACTGACAAACTGGGACGCTTTTTGAGTGAGTGAGTGCGTACGTGGGTGGATGAGTTGGATTTTACACCGCTTGTAGCAATTTTCCAACTATAGAATGAAGGGAACACCAGCAATTGGCTTTACACTTTGTTCTCATATGTGCAATTGAACCCAGGTCGTAGGCTTTAAGAACTAGGCTACCCCCACCACCGATGTTGTTTTTTTTAAATCAAACACAAGAAACATGAAACTGAAGTTTTTTTGTAATGAGTAACTTTGCATATATACCACTTCTACACTGATGCCCACATCCACACTCACGCCCACCCATCTGATGCACTGTCCGCCAATGCCGCTGATCCTCCAAACCAGGTTTAACTTTTTTAAGAATTCTTGTAGTAAGGAGGAGGAAGGATCTTACTCGTTACAGCTCCGTTGTCTAAATGCGCATCCCCTTCAAGTCACTCAAAGAATTCAGATGTCATGATCATTTGACAAACTCACTGAAATAATCACAAGTATATCCTATATATTGGAGTGACCTCAAGAAGATAATAAATTACAATTTCAGAATGGGGGACAGAGACTTCATATTGTAGTTACCAAGGTATTAAGTTCCTGCCAGGATCGACGTGGAAAACAACGGATTGTATAAGGTGTTCGTGTGATGAAGGCGGACTCTCCTGTGCGGGGTAAGTAGACAACACTGCAATGTTATTTCTTAAAGAAAAGCCAACTATCTTATATATACTTTCTTATGCTAATGTCTCGTCGGCAATCAGAATGTTAATCAGAGTGATGTTGTCGTGATGGACACCTCGTGACCAATCAACATGGAATGTGTTTCAAAGGCATGAAAGAATATGTTTTCATATATCGTAATGATCACCAAGACTTTTCTCACTACATGAAATTATCAAATAATCAAATTATATCAAACGTGTTATTCAAATATAAAATCAATGATGACCTTATATATTGAGATGGCTGTGGGTAGTCTTGTGGATAAAGCGCTCGCTTTCAAGGGCTCGATTTCCCGCATGTGTATAAAATGTGAAGCCCATTCCCTGTGTCCACTGCCGGGATATTGCTGTCAGTGGGGAGAAAGAAATACTCGATCGATCCATCAACCATTCGTTCACAGCAAAAAGCTATTTTAAAACAAAATCAGCAATAGTTCAACTTATGTTACACAAAATGCCGAATATATACAGATCGTTCACAGTTTGATAATATACTGAACCGCAAAAGAAACGTCACCCAAAGTAACATTGCATGAAAAGTTGTCATTTAAATATCTGGGTAATTGTTGTCTAAGTTTCTAAAATTTAACATTACCTTGTCCGGAAAAATGAATTTGATGATAACAAAACAAAGCAGATGACAATAAAACCGATCGCCCAAACGCATCACAGCAACGGCCATGGTAACCCGATGCACGTGAGTTCCGTGCAAATTGAAATGCACATGCGTTCCCCCATTTCTTGCCCTATAAAAGTCCACCCAGATAGGATAACATCCATTCGTTATTGAATTCCTACCACATGCCAAGATTGACAAGAAATCAGCGACACCAAGCCCTTGGACGACTGCAAGCTGGACAAACCGCCCGGCAAGTAGCCAATGCATTTCAAGTCCACGTAAGGACCATATGCAGGCTCCAGCAACGGTACCAGACCACCAACACTACAAATGACCGACCACGTAGTGGAAGACCAAGGGCAACCACCCGACGTCAGGATCGTCAGATTGTGCCACAGCATCTTTAAGATCGCTTTGTTACTGCTGCGGAAACTACTCGACAGACCGTGCGTCGTCGATTGACGAGCAGACACCTCCACTGTCACAGGCCACACCGAGGACCCATTCCAGCGCCGGGACCGTCTTCAGTGGGCAACACAGCACCAGCATTGGCGCCACCAGTAGTGGAGAAGCGACCTCTTCTCAGATGAGAGCTGTTACTATATCTCAACAGCAGATGGTAGAGAGAGAGTCTGGCGACGCCGTGGGGAACGTTATTCGGATGCTTGTGTTGTTGAGAGGGACTCGTGGGGTGGTCCGAGCATCATGATGTGGGGTGGAATTGGTCTTGGATGGCATCAGAACCATGCAGGGGCCTGTCCTCAGCCCCGATTAAAATCCCATTGAGCACATGTGGGACGAGATTCAAAGACGGCTGAATGACGTCCGACCAAGGCCGACAACTGCAGTAGAGCTGTGTCAGGTGTTCCTCAGAGTGTGGGCTCAAGTGCCTGTGGCCTTCATCAACCGCCTCATCCATTACACGTATCGAAGTTGCACGGCAGTCATCAATGCACATAACGGACATACGAGATACTGACGTGTGATGCCATTTTCTCAGAGACCTGTGATGGTTTCACCTTAAGAACATTTGACACTTTAATTTCAACCTTGATGATCAGTTGTGCCAATTTTCATCTTTTATATGTCTCAAAGTATGTTTACAGTGTTTGGACAAATAAGGTTTCTCATATATCTATCCATGGTGACGTTTCTTTTGCGGTTCAGTATATATATTTATTGTGAAAAGAATTATGAATACGATTCTGAATATTGATATCATTATGAATATTACGCAGGCAACTGTGAGATGAGCAATATCTTGTGATTATTAGTTGGAAGACATAACACAATGTAACCTACTCGCTTTTTATTTCTAGGTTCGGTTATGCGGGTGGGGCATTTGGGGCACCTGAAGGCTGTAAGGTTGTCAATGATGCATGTGAGCCTAAAATGGTGGATGAAGAGGATGAGCTGCAGGACTGCACGCCGGGAAACTAAAACTTCTTCATGTAAAATGTAATACTATCATGAAGTAGATAAACCCTAAGAACCGTAGCTGTGTCGTTCTTTGTTTACAAGACGGTAGTGCTCTACCTGGGTCGGCGAGCGTGCAAGCAAGGTACACGAGCTATGGAGTGATGTACCGGTCGATTAGTATTATTATTACGATGTCAATCACTGGACTGGATTATTTACTACAAACGAACAAACTAAAACATTCATTCTCATTCGGAATTTTAGCTAAGTCATATTCATGTATGGAGGAGTTTATATAATAATAATTCAATATGCTAAGAGTCACCTGTGAAGGCGTCAACGTATACGCCAATACCAGAGATCGGTCTTTAACGATTTCTATGGTATCATAATTTACGCATGTCCTGTCCTTAATGTGAGATGTGTCACACAGACCACTTATTGACTGAATGTTATATTACTTGTTCATTTGCACTTTTTTTTCATGTTGTGTATATAACATATTACACATAAATAAAAAAAATCTTTCTCGAAATTGATGTTACCTGTCAACGATAACTTCAACAGCATTCTTTCAAGTAGCCTACGCCTACTTGTATATGTAATTTATGGAACTCAATGTTGAGAATTATTTACTTAACGGCTTAACAATTCAAATGATTAATAGTTATTGGATGGCGTGACTTGAACATTAACGTCACATTGGCAATAGCGTAGCCATGTAAATACAGACTGAATTGTGCACGTATCGATTAGGAACAGCTGTTGCCAGTACAAACCTAAATGGTTTATATATCCCATTACTGGACCTAATATATTATCAATAAATATAATATTATTCTGTACAATATTCCATGAAGAAGACGGTAGGGTTACTAAGAAGTGAAAAGTTTTAGAGTCCCGTTTACAGTGTATAGACGTGAATGTTTAATGTTCCCGTCGTGGCTTTGTTGCAGTTCTGCTATATTAATTAACTCCTTTATGGACTCTAAAAGGTGAAGTGAAAAAGGGATTTAGATTCGCGTTCAACAATAATTAATTCACTTATACAGTTTACAGTCGCCCAGCCGATTGGTCCTTTGTTTATTCCCCCAAACCACATCGAGGCTCTTTCTCAACTGCACAGGTACCGGAACACTTAACGTTTGTATGAACGAGTGAGTGAGTGAGCTCGGATTATCACCGATTTGAACAGCTTTAGGGTTATATCCACGTGTCCGTTTGATTTGGAGGAAACCCTGTCTTGGACAAACTTGCTTTGTTTGTTTGTTTGTTTGTTTTTGGTTTAACGCCGACTCCATATTCAAGACCAGACAATCAAGTAACTGAGCAACATGCACAACGTTCAACGGCGATAGCCTTGCTACCAGCCCAAGTAGGTCGTCTCTTGCGACCAACATAGGCTACCGGGGACGTTTTCTAACCCTGAATCCTCACAGGTTCCCTATTTAGCCGCCTTTTACGACAAGCAATGTGTCCTCTGGATACACTCTGTCCCTGGTCCCCGCGGTGGTAAATGGTTGGAGATATTTCATTAATTAATTGATAATTCTTCGCTAGGGGTGGTCACTTTGGTACTCAGCTAAACTTACGTTAAATGCAGAAATGCATTTCATACGAGGTTTTTTAAATCAAATGCTATAAAGCCAATCACATTTAAGAGAATCATTTTTATATGGATTTTTTATTCAATGTCAGATCAAAACTATGAAACACGTTTTATGTCTGGTATACTTATGTCACATGTATATATTAGTAAACACATGTTACAACACAATGTCTTCTTTAAAACATGCAGATGGTAAAGGTGTATAAGGTGTATATTACCGAACAACTGTCATTCAAAAAGCAGTTAAATGTACCAACTTTCTACCCGATGAAACTCATCTCAATACACCAATACTCGGTTTCTGAAAAGCGTTTCTGTGAAAAAAATCAAGTGGTTGAAACCGATTCTACTGTGATATACCATGAATGGTCTGTATTCTTAAATGAATGCAAGATATATATTTTTACAATAATTAATTATACAGGAGATATTATTTATATCTATTTCTTTAAGTACAAGTTGGAAATATAGTAGAAATTGAATACAGAAAAGGGGAGTATCTCAATTATCATCTATAAATAAAGCGACAAACCTCTTTCCATAGCCAGAATAAATCTCTGCTAAAAGCAGTTGTGATTGTACGATTCCGAGTGAAACACGAGCGACGTTTCGATGTAGGTTCTAACACCGTTATCCAGCAAGTGACGGTTAGAACATACGCCGAAAAGTCGCTCCTAATTGTAATAAGTTGTTCATCAATATATCGTATCCTTACTTTGAACTTCAACTTATAAATGCCTCTCAAGAAGACACTGTTAAATAGTAATGATGCCAGGCGATCGCGAAAAGGTGACATGTTTCACTAAAACTATTTATTTTAAATTTATTACACATCCATTCATAATTATTTTATATGTATAATTTGGGATAATTGGCAAGAAAGAGTTCCCAAATATCTTTTTTATAATAAGGTATCATTCCAATTGGTAAACATTTCAATCTCCATCATCAAGTGAAGTAAAACAAGATGTCACGCATTTTCAGTTTGAACAAAAGATACATTTGTCATGACATAATCAGTCAATACGTTGACGTACATCTTTCCGTGACATTTTCAGTCCATACGTTGGCGTAAATCTGCCCTAGACATATTTATAACTTATGTTTCTTTGAAAAGATATCGACAGTACTCTTCAGGAAAGGCACCCCTTTCTGACTAACATAATTTCACCTTATTGTCGTACATTTTAATTGATACAACAACAAATACGTACAACATGTTGACTTTGAACAACATATTATGAATATGATATCGTTTTTTGAAGTATATACGTGTTTTATATTATGAAATAAGGTAATTGTAAGTGGTTATCAACATTTGTGTTTCAGTATCATGGTCAATAAAGATATATGCAGCATTTCTTTCTAATATATGTTTCAGCACTGTTTCGAAAGATCACAATTTTAGTTCTTTTTAATTTACTGATAATGCCCATTCTTTCGTCTTTGTACTTATAATATTTAATTTTCATTGTAGACCAACAAACGTTATCTGACACTAAAATGACACCGTCTGCAAAAAGGAGCATTAATATTTCTATCACATCTGGAAACATTTCGATATCCTGTTTACTCATGCTTACCATTGGCAGCTTTTTCGTAACATAACTCATTTATGAAAATGAAATTAAGATCGGACTCAAAATATTGCCTTGTCTTAGGCCCAAAGGACAATCAAAGAAATCTAAAACACAATCCCACAACGAACACATGATCTCACATTAGTGAGTGAGTATGGTTTTACGCCGCTTTTAGCAATATTCCAGCAATATCACGGCGGGGGACACCAGAAATGGGGTTCACACATTGTACCCATGTCGGGAATCGAACCTGGGTTCTTGGCGTGACGAGCGAACGCTTTAACCACTTGGCTACCCGACCGCCCTGATCTCACATTAGAATACGTTGATTTTAGAATAGTAAACATTTTCCCACGTAAACCAGCTTTTCGTAGACTTGTCCATAGCTTAAAGCGATAAACAGAATCACAAGCCTTTTTAAAATCAACAAATGCTACATACAATTTATGCTTAAATTGCATCTATTATTTCGTTTTCAACAATGGGTAAATCTAGCATAACTTCATCAACATCCGTGAAGCATTCACTGAAATACTTTTGCTTATCATCAATTGCCGTAGTGAATATTGGATCATTTGAATAAAACTTCTGAAAATGACTTAGCCACTGCGATTTTGTTATGTTATCTGCAGCAGAAGGTCTATTCTTGAGAAATCGTATTTGTTTCCAGCATTATTCCAAAATTGTTAATAAACATTTTTCAGTTTGTCTCGTCTGTGTCTACACATATCAAATTTGTATTTCCGACGACAATTTCTATATTTATCCCTATTTTCGTAATTTTCCATTCTGCCAAGACTAGAGCGAGTAGTTCTAAATCTTCGTAGCGCTTTGCGGGTGTTACGTCTTGCAATTCTACACCCATAAGTTCTATTTTTATCATGTTCAGCCTGACACAAATATTTGTTCCAAAACTGAACCGCCGTGATATTGCTGGAATATTGCTAAAAGCGGCGTAAAACCAAACTCACTCACTCACTCCAAAACTGAAACCAATGATCACATCGAAATCAGCCTTGGCCCATGTGTACGATACATACAGGTGTGTTTCAAACGCCTCAGAATGTTCTCACATCTTTCATGAGAGATGCCTTGTATTGGCCATGTGATGAGGGATTGGTCGTCGATCCACCATAATCATATCATACATTTATCAGCATTTTCCACAGTGGTGGCAGTTGAAGGTCTTTCGGATCTTGGATCATCTTCGAGTCTTCTTTTCACATCTTGAACTCCGCTGCCCACCTCTCAGCAATGGCAAAAGGAAAATCATCTTCTAAAGTTAATGTTCAGTATCATCTGTCACCAGGCGATAGATCAAGAGTCATTGACCGTTTACGTCAATACCAGCACAATCAATGAATATGTTCATATAAGTAGGACGAATGTACCGTTAACTGCCCATTGTTGAAAGGACCTGCACCTGTAAACAGGTGAGTTACACTACCAATTAGATATCTGATAAATGCAGAAACTTACATCTACCACTGTACAATATTTAATTATTTTTTTTTTGTAAACGCCTCAATCAGCAATATGACGACAGTATGTAAATAATCGAGATGCAACAACATTGTCCTAGCCGATGAATAGTGTTACATTCACACTGTGTAACATTATTTGTAGTATTTGATATTAGGTAATGTCTGAATGGATCCACGATGCCCTGTTCTACTGAGGTCCTCATTATTGGCAGACATATACGCCACACTCAGCAATATTTCAGCTTGACAGCGGCTTTAATCAAGAGCAAATCGGTATAGAAAACCACGATCCACGCAATTAATATACGATGACTTGCTGTCGACTGAGTCACCGTGCCAGACCAGCCGATCCATTCAGCTGCCGCCTACGACAAGCCTAGGTTTGCATAGGCCTCTGGGGATCTACATTCTTAACCGGAATCCCATGGTTGTACAATATAGTTATACTTTGACTCACGTTCTAATCCACGTAAAAGTAACAATTTCAGACAATATTTTACCGGAGGACATGAAATGGCTCATGATCAAAATGACAGTTTAGTGATCAATATCTGTCCAGTAGCAGGCATTGTGGTTAAGCAAGTTGATGTGAAGTTAACTCTGCTGACTTGTCGGAAAATAACAATTTCACACAAGTATTTTATTTCTACCATTGTTTTAACTCATATGTTACCCTTCTTTTAGAGAGATCCTCACCTTAATACGCCATGTACGTGCAAGTATTCATTCTTCTACTCCTGGTCACCTTGACCCAGGCGTCATCTTCTCATGGTCAGATTGAAACGGAAACAAATAGTAAGTTGGCAAATATTTAGTAATTATATACCAATTCTACACTGTTGCTTTTTCTGTAAAAAGATCTTGGCAAATACTGTACTCCCTGCGGTATGTTTTAATTATTTTCTAGTGTATCCCCCGTTGATTGGGAAGTACATATACTTGGTTTTCGAGTGCATCGAATTTAGTCAAGTGTATCTAGCATTAAAATGTAATGTATTTTTTATTATTTTCTAGTGTATCCCCCGTTGATTGGGAAGTACATATACTTGGTTTTCGAGTGCATTGAATTTAGTCAAGTGTGTCTAGCATTAATAAATAGCAGACACCCTTAAGGCGGCCATATCCATCGAGAGAAAATGGATCAGAGTTCAAACATAACGTGGGCGGTCAGAGCACACAGTCTCGAATAAATAGAGTTTGATAACCTTCTTGCACCAGTTGGTTTTCGAAGTAAAGAGGCTATTGTCGCAATACAACTGACTGGTAAATAGTCAATACCCGTCTGTGTCACGATCACCAGGATTACCCATTCGTCTTGACGAGGATTTCATTTCGTTCATCCAGGATCTGAACTCAGAGATGAGACGTAATGCTAAGAAGCACTTTGTATGACTGAATGTTTCATATACTGTGGACTAAAACAGATTTGATGAACCAACTCACAAGGATGGCAAAATTGTAAATGATTCAAAGAGAGACATATGATACTTCCTCAAAAGTTGTACACCATTCAATGAATCAGTAATGTTTTCAAAAAGTATTTTAGTAGATACTGTACACTTTACTGCTTCAGCTGACCTTGCAATCAACGTGTTAATGGAGGATTGAAATTGGAAAATTGGGTTGTTTAAAACGTAATCCTTGGATAACTAATTACGTAGGGTGACTTCATTTTTAAAACCTTGTTTCACATCCTCCAATACAAATCGAAGCTGGTGTGATACAAACCACATTAGAACCTCGGTAAAACTTTCAAAAGGTTATATGACAGACATGTTATGACAGACCTCTACGTTTAGCCTGTTAAGTCTTCAAGGAGAAACAATGTTGGCGACATGACTTAAAAGACGTTGCGCTGCCAGGGAAGTTACTGGTATGTGGAGTATCAGGTCTTCCTTGCAGTTGTCTCAGTTCATCCATCTGGTACTCAGTGCTTTGTCACTTTGTCACGTCAAAAGGTTATGATGTTGATATACATTGGGCACTCTAATCCCAAGTAACCAACCACTAAACCTCCTTACCACACCCTCACCAACATACATCTTTTGCACTGTCCGTATATGCCTCTGAACCTTTCCCTGGACATTCCTTCAAGTGGCACAAAGAATAGTCAGACTCTTGATTATTTGATAAACTCATAGAAATAATGACAAGCATATCCAATAAATGGGAGTTACACTAGTGCCTAAAAGTGCATTCCCTTAAGACGCGTTGAGAACACGTGTAACACGCATGTGACACGGGTGCTTAACGGTTTGCACACGGGTTGAGCACCCGTTGAACACGCGTCTGCGACGGGTGTGCAGCGCATGTGCAACCCATTGAGCACCCGTTGGTCATGTGCCATGCGTGTAACACAGGACCGGGTTTCAGTTGAAGTTAACAAATATATCAAATGAATACTAGCGAGATAAATCAAAACAGTGAGATGTGAATCTTGAGTTAATGAGCGGCCACCAGACCATGAACACAAGGTCGGCCCGTCTTAATTATTGTTCGGTTGCTGGACTTTTATGGCATGAACCATTTCAGGAGGGTCCAGTCTAACCATTGTGGCTACCCGACATTAGAACAGTAGGGAATTTAGAATCGAGTTTATTGCTAGGGGAACCCCCGAGTTGACACGATTGTCGTGGGTTGGTATATGTTCGCAATTAATGGAGTAAGTTTTTGTAAATTGCTGATATATTCGTTTTACGTTTTGCCCACGTGAGTCAATCCAGGTGGCTACAATTATACCGTTTTTCGTTCGACATTTGTTTAGATAGTACAATTATGATAGAAGAGCCAATACTACTTACGTCTTATTATTTCACGTAGGAATATATTTTCCCACACCCCACTTCCTGTGGTTTTTGTTTTGTGAGAATAATTAAGAGAAAGTTTTGTGTAGGACCCTAACATTTATCACTAATTCTAAGAGGATATTGGAAATTAATATGAACAGCTTTGTTGTCTAACTGTTGATAGAATTTTAGATCTTCACAATCACCGAATGTGACCATGTGACCTCGTTAGGGTTTGTGATTTTTACATTTGCCCAATGACCACAGTGGTAACCTCCCAAAACCCCTACATCCCATTTCCCCTACAGCTTAAGACAACAAAGTTCACGGTCCATGGCACTGCTAATCCCTAGTCTATTACCTATTTCATACAATGGAACAACCCAAGAAACACGAACAGATTGAGATAAATATTAAATTACAATTACGATATTATTCAAATTTCATAATACATTATAATAAAATACAGTGAGTATTGCTGGGGATACCGGAGGTGACAGCTTGTTATTAGAGGAAATTGGCTGTGAGTACTTATACAATGTGAAAGGGATATCTTTAGGATTTTAATCCTTTCTTTCTCTGTGGGTATGAATCATGTCAACGATCAGATATTACAAATTACAAAAGAAAAAAGTATTCAATGTATGTGGTTCTCATTTCAGAATGGGGGACAGAAATTTCATTTTGTACTTACGAAGGTATTAAGTTCCTGCCAGGGTCGTCATGGAAAACAACGGAATGCGAAGAGTGTTCGTGTGATGAAGACGGAATGTTCTGTCAGGGGTAAGTAGATAACAATGTGGATATTCGGGTTTAGAATATGTCACCGTCACAAGGAAGTAGCGACTTAATGCGACTCAGCGAATTTGCTGATGTTATCGCACCCAGTGGCGTGGATTGTTCCCCATAATATCCTTCATTGTATTGTCTTCTCCATACTCCGCCATCCTTTAGTTTGAGTATTGCTGAGAGTGTCATTATATTTTTAAGCAACGAACACAAATAATCACCCTACACGTATGTGAAAATTGGTACTTTGCTACAATAACTATACTCAATATTTTAAGTGATGTTGTCGGACATATCCAACCTAAATGGAATGTGTTTCAAAGTAATGGAAGAATCTGGTTACATATAATGTTCAACCAAGACTGTTCCTACGATATCAAATTTACAAATAATCAAATGATATCCAGCGTTTTATTCAAGTATCTGATTGTCTTTCCTCCATATGATGACCTCATATAGTTTGATGACAGATATTGATATGAGTGGAATTATGAATATGATTATGAATATCGATATGATTATGAATATTACAGCAGCAGTTTACTGTGAGATGAACAATGTCTTGTGATTATCAGTTTGAAGACAATGCAATGTACAAGTAACTAATTGTCTCACATTTTTCTTCAAGATTCGGTTATGCGGCGGGGGCACGTGCTGCACCTGAAGCACATGAAGCAGATAAGCATTGAAACCGTGTTCGTGTTTTTCTTTGTTTAAGAGATGGTCATGGTCTACCAAGCGAGCTAGATACTAGTTTCACCAGTATTTTTCGATTCACAATTTAGAGAGCAACCTATGGTTTGAAGAATTGTCATTGATAAAGTACTCACGGAAATGAAAAAAAACTTCTTTTTTTCGACCTCAGATCTTAAATAAATGCAGTTAATATACAAAATATGTAAATATTCAAACAACTAAATTAGTACTAATTGGGCCGTGGCACAAATACAGCGTATCAAATGTTTTTATGCCTCTTTACACGTAGAAGTGTGTATAAATGGGAATAAAACAGACTATTGTGAAACAGGGAATAACCAGGCGTAAGTAGATCAAGGTGACCTATGACACCTTGACGACAGGTGAGAACAGGTGAATGATGTCTATAGTCTGTTTCTGCTATGTCAATTAGGACTTAGTTTTATTTTTGAATGTTGAAAGTGGCGACAATTTACCTCCTGTAAAGTACATTTTGTATTGTTCACTGAGATCAAACTAGCAAATCCAGACAAATACATTTCGAGTTGTTTTGTTATTTCGTATTTACAGCTACGTAACACTTTGTGATTTTTAAATTGAGAAAAACAGGGTTTTTTTCATTTTCGTGAGTACTTTAGTACTAAATTCACCAGCAATTCTAGATTGACAGTTTAGAGAACGACCTATAATTTGTTGTTCAAACACGTGTGCTTATTGCCGACCCATTTGTTATTCGGGTCTGTTTTATATAATTATTTAAGCTTTATTCGAATTGGTACATATTTAAATCTACATCAAGTGAAGTAAACCAAGATGTTACGCACTTCCAATTGGATAACAAAAAAACACTTACACCTCTGCATGACATAATCAAAGTCCATACGTTGACTTACATCTCTGCTAGACATATCCATCGTGCATACGCTGACGTACATCTCTCAAAAGCACATTCATAGTCTGTACGTTGAAGTACATTGTACATCTCTGCATGACATATTCAAAATCCATACGTTGACTTACATCTCTCCTAGACATATCCATCGTGCATACGTTGACGTACATCTCTTAATAGCACACTCATAGTCTGTACGTTGAAGTACATTGTACATCTCTCCTAGACGTGTTCATAGTCCTAACGTTGACGAACATCTCTCCTTGACATATCACTGCAAACACGAAAACGTCGTTTTTTTCCGTATATGGTCATTGGACGGAAAAACGACTAAAAATTCATTAAAATTGATTAATTGGTCAGCGTCTAGAAAGTGTCCAGAAAAGGGTCGAGTTTTTCAAGCGTAAAATGGACGGAAAAACGATGCTTTTTGCTCCACCTTGTACAACTGTTAACGGCCAATCAGATGGCGCTGGTCCCCCGACGCACGTGATGTCCAAGGCTTCCTTTCGGAAGCTTTAGGTTTCGTATTTCTGGCATGCCTTGCTCTAGTATCTGTCGCGCGCAGTGCAGCGAGATTTGCTGATAAGCTCGTTTTAGGATATGTTACATGATAATGGAATTCAGACATGCGCCAAGAAGTCAAACCAAACAATGTTACTAAGTTTATTGTGGTAACGGCTATGTACAGTTAGCCCTATCGGATAATGGGTTGTGTTTCATTTGGTTATAACAATAACTATTTTTTTAATGTGAAGTTTACAAGATATACGACTTGGACGCGAGGTCGGTCACATGACGTTCTTCACGTGACTGTATTCTTGAAAAGGCGTAAACACTGACTACTTCCCCATTCCTGGGGAAAACCCTTGGAATTCCCTGGTACGAATTCATACAGAAGCGTGGTTGCAAGCCCATTTAAGGATACCCTCGCTACAACCCATCCCAGAGAGAAAAAACACGGAAAAAAATCCGAAATTGTCGCAGTGACAATTTACAGAAATCTATGAATTTACCTTAGTATCTATTTGACACATCTTCACAATCACCTTTCAATGATCGGCCAATTGATCAGTGATGCCAAAGGCTTGAAATAGCCACAGGTTAATTACAAACTTCGAAAATATCTCCTGTCACGTTTATCGTGTCGGCCATTTTGACGTATTGTACTTGATGTAAATGTATTACGACGCTCTGTCATTGTAATTGACTTACTGAGGTAATTCTGTAAAAGATCTCCTCATCTAATGAGGATATTGTTTGGAATATATTTCTTGTAAACATACTAAAACATATGTTCCTCGCTTTGGGGGGAACTATTTTATTCCGGGGTGGCCCATTAAATCTAGTAGTAAGTCAAGGCACCATGCGTGATCTGTTATTTTATGTGTTTAACTTACGATTTGGGGCGTTAATAAAATACACTGACGCAAGCATATTCTATTCAAATCAATTGGATAATTGAATATGCTTTCTTTTACATATTACATAACATCACTGCACAAAATATGAACAGTTGCAGTAACACACTACGGTAATCGCATTAAACATCATTTTCAACTGTACAGTATTTCAGTATTTCAGTTATATCATGGTGCATCAGACTGATGTGGGATAAAAATCCGAAGTGGTTCAGGTCATCCAATGGGTGTTCGGGAAAAGGTGAGCGTATCCTGCCACACAAATGGCACCCGTCACAAACACATGCAAGGACAAGTCAATTGTTCACCTGAACAAAGCACGGATACAAACAATAATGACCGTCCTCAGTTTTACCGAGCATGTAAATTATTTTGTCCGTCAAAAACATCGACGAGTATAAACAATATGTTCATTCACGTAATACATGTAATACATTTGACAAAATGTATTGACTCGGAGCATTATTGTTAATCACAGCGTATGCAGTTGAACTCATCATCCGTCCCATTATTGATAACCCTTCTTGAAGATCTATAAAATCAGAAGCTGCAACACTCTATCTTTTAACTGGCATGTCAGACTTCTATTTCATTACTCAGTTTTATTTGCACGGATGACTATGGAAGGGACATTGTCTCGTTGTCGCATTGTCGCACTGACGCCTTTACAAAAACAAGCAAAACGTGTCAAAATTAACAAAAGCGCGACAATTGGCCATTTGTCGCATTGTCGCGTGTTCGCATTGTCGCTCTTTGATAATCCTTTTCTTTATTTTACAAAAGGGCGACGATGCCGTAACGCGACATTTTCAAGGCCAAAATATGTCTCGTTGTCGCATTGTCGCCCCATCACAAATGTGTATAAAAGGCGTAAAGTTCAGTTATTGTTACAGTTAGGAAGTTCAACCTGATAAATGTACGTCTTGAAATGAAAACACAAGTCCGTCCGCAAGTCCATAACGTTTAATTGTGAGCTCTTCTCTAAAAGTGCTTAGTGTTCAACTCCCAGTTCCAAACACGTAGTACCTCCTCAATAATCCACATACCTCCAGTGCAGTGGTCTTCCGGAAGATCTTACTCTTGACCGTATTAGACAACTGACGAGTGCACTCCTGACCTGTGACCTCGTTGCAACCCTCGTGATGTGTTTGCCGAAGGGAGAGGTGTAGGAAATGTGTGCTCCAGCCCAGCACAGAGCTCGCGACACACTGTATACTGATGTATACAGTATATTGCAGTTGATATACTGTATACTGCATGTGATACTTATTTGCGGAAATGTTACAACTTTCAAGATTCAAGATTCAATTTGCATATATTTCATATACAAAAGACCGCCGTCATATATCACTGGAATACTGCTGAGAGCGGCGTTAAAACAAATTGTTTTCATAATGGAGCGCTGCAGTCATTTAAAATAGAACCGTATACATATGTACATGTAGTACCAACTCACTCTATTTGTTTCGAATATTCAGCAGAAAATATATTATTAACCAGGTCTTTGGGAAAAGATATCAGATTTTTATAAGCAGCCACATAGGGATGATAAAGGACCCCTCGCTGATTAGGTTCTTGTTTACTTAAGAGCAGAGTTGGCCATGTTAGATGATATAACCAAAATCCGGGAGCTCCGGCGGGGGGCAAACTGGTCTTGTTAGTGTATGGTATGAGCTGTGACGTTGACCCAAGAGAATAATGTAAAACATGAGACCAACTCAAGTCTATAATGATTGGGAAAGTCTAGATTTCCACAGCTCTAGCCTGAAATTAAGAATTGTTCTATGCTCCATTTTAATTCAATTTGTATTATTTTCATTTTATAGACATGGATGGACCAACCAGGAAAGAAATTGATGGAATATTAATATCACATGTTACCACTGATCCAGTTAAATTCATCACACAACAATAAATTAGTATTTGACATTACGGCATTTGATTATTAGGACATGATCATGTACATGTCCACTGTAGTAATGTACACACCAGTTAAATTAATTATAATTTTTATCAAAGTGTAGCGCGGCATCAACGATTACTTTATGATATCCTCACTTGTCATCGATGTATTGACATCGAAAAATGGACGGCAATTCGAAATTCTTATGGATAGCTTCAATAGGGATAGCGCCGGTGTCAGTACAATTTTCCTAGTTAAAATAAGTATCTACAAAATATAACCTGAAGCAGACAAGAACAATATTTTTTTATTAATGCTTACTTTCATGGATAGAATTAAGGCAATCTAGGCTTGCCAAATCGTTCTAGTCTTGAGCTGGATTCCTTTTAAATTTATTCTGTATGGTCTGGGAGACGAACGGGCGTCAGTATCGCATGGAGAACTGGGACAGCCTTAATCAGTGTAAACGGATATGTTGTGGAGTTTCGGTTTTGGGCTGTTTGCTGAATATATAGAATTGCGAGTTATGTATACTCTGTATTATTTCGTCATGGTAGCATATATATTTTCTATGTTGCTTTTTGAATTATCCACAAATAATGAGAACTACAATGTAAACCTCTCTCTGGAGATAAGCAATAATACTACTGAAGAGCATATCTGAAAAATGGGACTTCTCGACAAATATTTCTTTCTTAAATACTACCCGTTACAGGCATTCTGATCATTATATCATACTTTGTGCAGTTTAAAA